AAATTAGTCTATACTCTTTTTGAATTTCACATATGTGACATCAACAATATACATTTTTTAACATTGGCTTTTTCCCTTAGATACTATGTCTGTAAGACCCATAACACACTAGAACTGGGCAAGGTGGCTGAAGTAATCCTTGCATTTTGGAGGCTGAAACAGGAGGCCAGCTGTGAGTCTGAGGCCAGCCAGGGCTACACAGTAAATTCGAGGCCAGCCTGAACTATATAGCAAGACCCTGTCTCAAAAATATCAAAAGATCCACGCACACTGTTTACAGCTGTCTTCATTCCTTTCCAGGACTCCATTTTTCCCCCTTTATGAATACACCACGGTTTACTGATCATTTTACTTTTAACAATTATGAGTTTGTTCACATTTTTTGTTATCATAAATCATCCTGCCTTGAAAGTACCTGCAGTGGTGCCTGGCAAGCATGCGAATAGGTTTCTGGGCACAGAATGGAGTTGATGGAATACAGCGAAGCCTGTCCCTGCTTCAGATGTTCTTTTCAGAGCTGCATGAATTTACATTACTACCAGACTTAAGGACAGTTTCCATACTCTCATTAATACCTAGCACTATAAGATTCTCCAATAGGTATACAGTAGTGTTTTATAGCTTTTTAAATTTTACACTGCATGTTATGAAATAGAGCAGATTTTCATGGCATTATTAGCTACTTGAATTTTATCTTTTCTCAAGTATGCAACAATTTTTTTTTTTTTTTTTTTACTTATTTTCCCACTAGGTTGTCTCTACTTTTCTTAACTATTTGAACAAGTTTCACTATATTGCACAGAAGTCGTTCCCAGTTGTATGTGTCGAGTTTCTCACCTGCTGGCTTTTTACTTTTAATGTATCTTTTGAAAATAGAAGCTTTTACTCCTAAGGTAACCAAAGTTATTAATCTTTCCTTCATAATTATAGCTTTGTATGATCTGAGAAAACTTTCTATACCTTAAGTTCATGTATTTTTATCTGATAGTTTCTGATTTTAATTTTTCACATATAGGTGAACTTACCTAGAATTAAATTTTTTATATATGTAGTATGAAGTACGTGTATGTAGGAATGTCTCCAATTACATTTTTCTCATATTCCTAGTATTGCTTATTTAAGAAGAATGTACTTTTCATACTATTTTGCAATGATATTTAAACAGTCTAATATATCTATGTTTCTGGGACATATGAACTTCTTGTCCATACTTGAAGTGGAACTAAAGTGTCTTTTACTTAATATAGTTTTATCAGAATAAAGTTTTGTTACTGTTAACCAGTAAAGCCAGCTTTGTTACCACATTCTTTTTAACATTATTTTGGTGATACAGTCTGAATTTGAAATGTCCACCAAAACTTATGTGCTAAAATATAAACACTTACAAATGATTCTAAAATATGTCTATTAGAAGGGAAACAAGAGATAAATGGGACGGGGAGGGAGAGGAGGGAAAGGGAAGGGAATGGGAAAAAAGTATTATAGAGATAAAAGGTCCAGTTCACTTGGAAGGTTAAATAACTAGACATTACCCAAAATGTATGAATCAAATGCATTCAGAATTGTGAGGAGAAACAGACACATCCACAAGTATAATGGGGTATTTCAGTATGTCTTTCAAGACTTTATATAAGATGAAAATTTTTGAGTAACAATACTAAGAAAACTGATTTAATGTCGTTAGTACATGTCTGTAGTAAAGAATGCATCCCTTGTGTGGAGCTGGTACATGTACATAACACATCTAGGTTCCTTGTCTACCCCCTCCCCCCATCTCTTTATCCCCTATTCCTTTGAGAAAGATCTTCCTCCCTACTTCCTATGATCTATCTTTTACTTTGCTACTTATACTTTGAGTTTCTAAGAGAAACCATGTGCTATTTAGGCCATATGTGTCTGATTTACTTCACTTAATATTATGGTCTCAAGGCGCACCCATTTTTCTACAAATGACTCAAGTTTATCTTTCCTTATGGCAGAGTAGTACTCCATTGTGTGTAAATGCCACATTTTCTCTATCCATTCATCTTTGATGGACATCAGGCCACTATTATGAATTGTGGTACTACAAACATGGGTATCCATGAATCACTGTAATATGATGTCTTTAACACTCTGAGGTAGATATCTAGAAGAGGAATAGCGGGGTCAAATAAAATTTCTAGCTTCAATGTTCAGAGGAATCTCTTAACACTCCCACCAACAATGGAGAAGGGTTCCTTTTCCCTGTACCTTTTCCAGCACTTGTTATTACTTGATTTCTTCATGAGGGCCATTCTTTCTGGGGTAAGATAGAATCTTAGCATTGTTTTAATTTGCATTTCTCTAATGGTCAGCAATGTTGAACATTTCTTCATAGGTTTATGACCACTTGTATTACTTCTGTGAAGTGCTTCTTCATTTAACTTGCCCATGTTTTGAATGGGTCTTTTATTTGGGTGTTGGTTTTTTTTTTTTTTGAGTTTTTTTACATATTCTAGACATCAAGTCCTATGTGTAAGGTATATCTGGCAAATTTTTTTCCCCATTCTGTACGTTATCTTTTCACTCGGTGGTTTCTTGTATTGTGCAGAAGCTTTTAAATTTGACATAATTCCATTTGTTGACAACTCATCTTTCAATGAAGACATTTAAGTTACACACTTGTAGTACCATTACTGAAATACTGCGTTTTAAATCTACTATATTCTTATTCCATGTTTCTTGCTTTCTTTTCTACTCTGGGTTTGTACTGAATCAATATTTTTTTAAAACTTTCATAAATCCTATTAGTTTGATAGTGACATATTATTTTTAAAATTATGGTCACCTTAAAAGTTGATGTCATTAAATAATGAGTCTAATAATTCCTCCAGATAATGCAAAAGTCTTAGTACTCTTAAACTTTATTTTCTCCTGATTAATATGCTTAGTTTGTGGTATATTTTATATTCTCACAAGAAATTACTAGTTTTTGTTTCTTCTTGGCTGTTTTCTCTCCTTTATCTCTATCACTTTCTTTCCTGACAAACAGCCTTTATGATTTTCTCTAGTGAGGTTTTTAACTGGAGAACTTTTCTCTTCCATTTGATTTTGAAGGGTATTTTCACTACATTTAGAATTCTAGGGGCCAGGGATTTAGCTCAGTGGCACAGTGTCTGCCTGGCAAGTATGAGGTCCTGAGTTTGATTCAAGCAAGGTTAAAAATTATGTTTTACACTGTCATTTAGCTTTTATTGCTGCTGTTGAGAAGTTAGTTGTCAGCCAAATTACTCCTCTTTTGAAGGTAATTTTGAAGGTATTTTTCTTCTGGTTAACTTTAAGATTTTATTGGTTTTCTGCACTGTCAGTATGATGCCACTAGATGTAGAACTCTTTTTGTTCATTGTTATGTTTTGAATACTACCACCAAAACTCATGTTGACATTTAATCCCCACTGTGAGGTATTAGAGGGCAGACAACTAATCTGAGTATCATATTTGGAGGAAGACTCTCTGGGAGGAAATTAACGTTAAATGAGGTATAATGGTGGGGCTATAATTAAACTGGGTCAAGGTTTTGTGAGAAAAGTGTTCCATGCCATGATGCCTGGCAGAGGTTTCTCACCAGCAAGAAAGACTGGCATCTGCCCAGCTTGCGGAGTACAAGCTGAACAGTGCTCAGTCTGTGATACTGAGTTACAGTTTTATCTTTATTAGGGTTCTTGAATCTTTGACATCACTCATACTTTTTGGTAAATGCTTTGCCAAGATTTCGTCAAATATTTAACACTTCCTGTTTCTATTCCTCTTCTGTGTATCCATCAGTACTCACAAGACTGGGTCTGCCTCCACACTGGAGATCCAAAGGATCCAGCCAAAAGCTTGGGCCCCCAGGTAATGTTTTGTGCAAGTCTGTATCAGAAGAACGAAGGGTCTGTGCTAGAAGATAACTATCACATTCTGTAACTCTAAAAACTATAAAGAGAACCTTTCAACTTTATCCCTTGTAACCAGTACCTCCTCCCTAAATTTAAGGCCTTCACATTGAGCTACATGCCCAGTTCCTTAAAAAGAATTTTTTTTTTTGACACAAAGTCTAAGTCTCTAAGTTGCTTAGGCCAGACTTGAGACAATGACTCTCTTGCCCTGACAGTGCTGGGTTTCCAGGCATGCGCCACCATGCTTGCACCTTCTGATTTTCTTCTCTGTATACTTTTTCTCTTTTATGTGTCATTCTTGACTTCCTTCAAATTTATTTTTCAGTTCAAAGGACATACAGATTCAACTATATCTGTGGTTAAACCCACCTATTAACCATTTAATTCTGGATTTTTCAGTTCAGGAATTTCCATTTGTTTGTTTTCCAAATACATTATGTAACATTTTACAGTTTTTAGTTTCTTTCTAAATTTTTTAAGCCTGCTTTTAACTCTTTGAACATAATAAACATACCTATTTGAATTGCTGTTTAACAACTGCCTATCTGAAGATCTGCTGCTGTTGCTTGTTCTTTGTGCTGGTTCTCACTTTGTCCTCTCTCCTCACGTGGGTAGTCCGCTTTATGTGCTAGACATTCTATGTAAACATTATTTATAAGGGATGGTTTGTTCTCTCTGATTTGCTTTTTCCTATGAGACACCCCTTAAAATGTTTTTGTCCAAACAAAGGAACGGTTATCAATATGCTCACTGTTTGCAGGCCTGGGACTCCAACTTTTATTCCCCTTTCTTACGGGAGTACTGAAGTGAAGTTCAGTCTCTCATTTACCTTTTCTAGACTGCAACAAAACTGGGTTAGCTACCAAAGTATCTCTGCTAAGACTTTAAAATCAAAGGAACTTGCAAAATAGCTTTCACCAATGGGGATAACAGCAATGGAGGAGATAATGTAGCTGAAGTTAAGAGATAGCAAAATAATGTTTAGCACATCATTAATAACACAAAAAAGTTCTGAGATAAAGAACTATTAAACAATAGTAGGGAAAAACCTGAAAAAAATCTACATGATCCAGAATCAAAGAGATGCACTTATTTTCTTACCATTTTCTGCCAATGGAGCAAGAACTTCAAAAATCATTTCTCTCTTGTCATGCTCTATCTGTTTCTTGAAGAGTTTGACCAGCTCTTCAGCAATGTTTGTACTGGCAAACTGCTCTTTACTTGACTCTGCAAAAGAGGGAAAAAATGTGGAATAAGTAAACAAAATTAAACCCAGAAATTTGCTATCTACTACTTGCAATGTAGTACTTGTCATTCTGTATCACTGAGAAATACAAATGCTCTTCAAATACTGGAACAATCAAACTGATTTTTAATGCCCCTGAAAAAGAAAAATGTTTTAGGCTGTAGAGAAAATGTTCTGCACCAATTATATTTGAGGTTACAGAAACTGTTCACTAGCATAAAAAACTAGAGGTAACCATAGCAACAATAAAGTTACTAAGTCATAAACTCAGTTTCAAGGTTTTTAGTCTAAGAAAAAAGTTATTTATACGGATTGCATTTAAATGGCAACAGGCTATCACCATTTTATCTTTAGCATTGTTATGTTTCTGCACCGTTCTTCACAGGACTATTATTTTTTGTGGCTGCTTCCTGGTGCTGGGATCAAATCCAGGAGTTTGTGCATGTAAGGCAAGCACTCTACTACATACCAACCCTACAACCATTATTTAAAGGGCAATTCTTCACAGAGGCTGGAATTCCCATTCCCTCTTGCCCCTTCAGCAGCTCCAAACATTCTTCTTTACTCTAGAAAAGCAGCATTTATATATGCTAATATCTCACATAAATAAAATTAATGAGTTCTGAAAGTGCAGTTCTACAGTACAGTGCTTGGTTTAGCATGTGTGAGGCCATGAATTTGAGTCTTAACATAGCAAAAAAAACAAACAAACAAAAAAACCCAACTTTCTTCCTTATCTCATATCTGTCTTCAACTATTATTCAACTTCACTTTTTTTTTCATTTTAAAGAAAGTAGTACATGAGAAACAAACAAAAAAATAGAACAGGGGCAGCGTACCAGCATAACGAACATAAACAAATCAAAGCAAGAACATTCAGTGATACAGGGTCTCAAGACAAATTAATACAAATCAACACTGGTTGTTACACTGCATACCGCTACCCTCAACTACATTGCTCAGATTATCAGATGGAAGAATCAAAGACTGCTCAACCATTAAAGAGAATAAGAAAATAATTCTTCAGTGAAACATTAGAGATAATACCATTTCACTAGGTAAGATGGTAGTTCACCATTGTAATTCCATTGCATAGTTACCTTCAATCAGTTGCTCAGACCACCACACACAAGCATGCACAGTCGATCAGAACATAAAAAACTGTGAGCATTAACTGTTCATTCCAATATACCATCAGACAACAGCAATACAGTCATCACAGCTATTCATATATATTTATGTTTTGCCTTCCTTTTTTCTTCTTTCCCTCATCCCAGTCGTTCCTTTCTTTGAGCAATTTCTTTCCCTTTCCTATTATCTATTGCACGTTTTGAGTTTTACCTAGTCTTTCAGGTTCCTACACAAAGGAGACAATAGGATGTTTACACATCTGGGTGCGATTTAGAGTATGGTCTCTAGGTGCATCCATTTACCTACAAAAGCCTTGAGCTTATCTTTTTTAATAGCTGAGTAATACCCCATTGTATAAAACTACTGCATCTTCTTTATCCATTCCTCAGTGGATGGGAATCTGGGTTGTTTCCAAGATTTAGCTATAACAAATTGTGTGCTATAAACATGGGTGCACATATCACTGTGGCATGATGTCTTTAATTCTTCTGGGAAAATACCCAGAAGGGGAATAGCAGGCTTAAATGGGACTTCCAATCATAGTTTTGTGAGGAATCTCCAAACTGATTTCCACAATGGTTTCCCCAATCTACACTCCCAGCAGCAAATTGTGTGCTATAAACATGGGTGCACATATCGCTGTGGTATGATGTCTTTAATTCTTCTGGGAAAATATCCAGAAGGGGAATAGCTGGCTTAAATGGGACTTCCAATCCTAGTTTTGTGAGGAATCTCCAAACTGATTTCCACAGTCGTTTCCCCAATCTACACTCCCGGCAGCAGTGCAGTAGGGTTCCTTTCTCCCCACAGACTCTCCAGCATTTGTTATTGGTTGATTTCTTGGTGATAGCCATTCTTTCCGGGATGAGACGGAATCTCAGTGTTGTTTTAATTTGCCTTTCTCGAATGACTAACAACGTTGAACAGTTTTTCATGTATTTATTCGTCATTAGTATCTCTTCATTAGACAAGTTTGTATTCATCTCAGATGCCCACTTTTGGATTGGGTCTTTGAATTAGGGAGGCCTGATTTCTTTTAATTCTTTGTATATCCTAGACAGAAGCCCTTTGTCTGAGGAGCAGTTGGTTAATATTTTTTCCCAATTCGTGGGTTTTCTTTTTACTTTGCTGGTGATTTCTTTAGATGCGCAAAAACTTTTCAATAGGATGAGATCTCAGTTGTTGATTCTTTGAAGTATTTCCCATGCAGTTTGGTTTTTGTTCCTAAACTCTCTGCCTACCCCAATGTCGTCAAGATTTTTACCTACTTTCTCTTCCAATAAATTTAGTTTGTTTTTTTAATATTTAGATCTTTGACCCATTTTGACTTTAATTACGTTTCTTGATAATATTGTCTACTTATACTGCCTCTACTTTCTCACTTATGTGCTTTCCTAACTGCTAGTGTTACTTTGTGCCAGATAAAAAAATCTTATAAATGTTAACAAAAATTTGTATGGTTTTGATCAACTACTTACACGGCCTCTACTTTCTCACTTATGTGCTTTCCTAACTGCTAGTGTTACTTTGTTCCAGAAAAAAAAAATCTTATAAATGTTAACAAAAATTTGCATGGTTTTGATCAATAACAATAGTTTAAATAAAGAAAAAAATTAACAAGTGCAATACATTTTTGAAGTGGAGGCAGAAAAACAGGGCTCTGCTTTGTTAAATTTCATGAACTATCACATTAAAGTTGTTTTCATTTGAAACCTACGAAGCAAATATCAACACAGAGATGCTGTTTGGTACTGGTGAAGCAAATGAGATTGCCAAGGGTGAGAATCAGGATCAACACGGTAAGAAAGCAAAGTGTTAAGATCCCAAGGAGCAGAAATTTGTAGCAGTTTAGTGGAAAAGGAGAAGCAATTACAGAAGAGGGCAAAAACTAGTTTAAATGTGAGTAGGCATAATCCTAGTTTACCATGGAGAATAGAAAAGTAGGCAAAGCTGTCCACTTACTTCTCATCCCCTCTGACAGGCCAGTGCTACACCAACACCTGGTACTGTATGCTGTTTATGTTCTGCAGTGCTGGGAATGGAACCTAGGACCTTGAGCATGCTAGCCACACACTCTACCACAGAGCTACACCCCCAAGGTCTGCATGCTGTTTTCTGTCCCCAAATTGTTTTTGCTTATTCACTTGTACAGTTAAAACTTCCATTTCCCAGCTGCTTCTAATATTGTATTGTACTGATCTCATAATATCATTCATTTAATAAGCAAAATGTGCCATGTACTATCCAGGAAAACAAAAGATATATAAAACTGGAATATAATTTACATAAGGTGGATGGCTAAAAACTTTAGCTATGTTGAAGAACGTCTAAAAATGGTTGGTAAACAGAGATGAACCTCTGACAGAGCAATTAGACAAATATTTCTACTTTATTTCTAGATTTTTTTCTTTCTAAAAAACTTTCACTTTCTGCCCCGAAGATTAAGATGACTGGATTCAATACAGAAACACTTCTTTTACTCTTCCAAACCATGTTTACAGTAACTTCGGAAACCTACAGGCTCAATAAAAACACAGCTGAGAAAGCACAGGCTTTAAACCATTAGCCTGTAAGTGTGTATGTATTCTCTCATCAAAACAATTCTAAATATTCGGCAAACTAAACATAATTGAGAATTTCTAACATATCCAAAAACTTAAGTGCCTAATTATCTGAAGTTTGAATAAGTCAAATGGTTTAGTAAAATCCACAGCTGAAAAGCTATGTATATTATGCACACAGTAAAAATACTTAGTTACTAAAATGAGAAATGGTAATATTTAAATTATTAAAGATACTTTGTGTAAGAATTCAAGTTTCCTTTTAAGAGGATGATACATCCAATTTTCTTTGTTTTCTATTTTTAAAAAAACTGATTTTCAAATTATTTCACCTTACAGGAATCTTAACAAGGCTAAAGGTTTCAAACATCAGAAGAAGATTCACTGAATCATACAATCAGTTATAATTATGACCATTATGCTAAAAAACAGAATATAAACTATCAGAGTACACTGAATATAGTAGCAATATAGACTGTTTAGTTTCAGGTGCATTTTTGTGGTTATGTAATTGCAGGCCACAGTACAAAAACTTTGGAAACATAATGCCCTAGGATGAGCAATTTACAATTTAAGTTTCTGTGATGCACTTTTGGAGAAATGTTAATGTTTTAAATTTGCATTGTAATGTCAAACACAGCAAGAGCTGTATCAATATTTGCATACTGAATGATGTGAGGATTCAAATGTGCAATTTGTCTATGAAATTTAGATAAATTACATAATTGTCTTTCATAAATTTCCATCACAGAAAAAAGCTTCTCTACTATATAAAAGTGGATTCATATTACTAAATAAATCACCAGGCTGGATTAAATGTAGATCAGGCCTTATTTACTTCATAAGCCTACTATAAAGGTAAGATTTAACACAGATCAATGACCCTCTTTTATTGAAAAGTGCAGACTCTCTCAAGGACTACTCTCTTCCACTACTACAGCTCTTTGTACATTTACTTCCCCAAAGGATGTATAATAATTATTAAACCTTTTGCCTTGGTTCTCACTGGAGGAATGAAGGAAAACAATGTACTGGAGTACACTGAACCCACAATGTAAATCCCTTTCCAAGAGGTTAAACAAGAGTTCTCAAACTTCCCTGAATGTGAGAAGATATTTATAAGATTCAGACACATAATCATAAAAGGAGTGAAATGATTCTCAGCAAAAATAAATTTTAATATAGCATAGTCTATCCAAAGATTATCATTTCCTTATTTGGTACCAACTTTACCAACTTTTACTTAAGGTTAGGTGAGATAACCTCATCAGCCTTTGCTGCTTCTATGTATTTTCCTGAAACTTCAGAAGTGGAGAGGGCCAAGGATATAGCTCAGCAGCACAGTGCCTGCCTGGCAAATGCATGGTCATGAGTTCAGTTCCCAGTACCAAAAACCAGAAAACAAAACAAAACAAACAAAAAACCAAAAAAGTAAAGGATAACTTTGTTGTAGAATTTCTTAGAGCACCAGTGTCCAACAGAAAAGTAATCCATTTCTAAAAGTTGAAGCCACATACATAATTTTAAATTTTCTTATATGTACAGTAAAAGTAAAGAGAAACAGGCAAAGTTAATTTCACTATTTTATTTGGCCCAGTAGGTTTAAGTTATCATTTCAATATGCAATCAATATAAAAACACTGACAAGCCAGTATACATTACTTTTTTCATACTAAGTCTTTAAAATCTATCATATATATTTTACTTGTGTGGTATCTTGATTCAGATTACCTATACTTCAATGCTCAATAGCCACCTGTGATTTGTCACTACTGTATTGTACAGTGCAGTTTTTCTAAAGATAAAAGAATGAAACATATTAGTTAACAAACACACATACATTTACAAAATAACACAAAAAGAAAAGAAGCAATACAGAATTTCAGACAAGGTGATAGGAAATTAACAATGGTTGTTGTATTACATATTGATATCTTCAAATTCGTTACTCAGGTGAACAAATATAGACATGTAATATTGGTCAAACAATTAAACATTAACTGTTCCTTTCAGCAGAGCAATAATACAACTATGTTAGCTATCCTGTGTATACATATATACATATTTTTCCTCTTCTTTCTTTTCTTTTCCCTCATCCCAGTTGTTCCTTCCATTTGAGCAAACTGCTTTCATTTCACAGTATCTATTGTACCTCCTAGATTTTATTCACTCTTTCAGATTCTTACAGTAGTGAGAAAACATGGTGTTTACACATGCAGGTCTGATTTATTTCACTTATGACTATAGTCTCTAGTTGATCCATTTACCTATAAAAGCCTTAAGTTTATCTTTCTTTATAGCTGAGTAATATTGCATTATATAAAACTACAACTTTTTTATCCATTCCTCAGTTGATGGGCATTAGGGTAGCTTCCATGATTTAGCTATTACAAATAGCGCTGCTATAAACATAGGTGCACATATATTGCTGTGATATGATGTTTTCAGTTCTTCTGGGAAAATACCCATGTGTGGAACAGCTGAATTGAATGGGATCTCTTTACTGAGGAATCTCCAAACTGATTTCCACACTGGTTTCACCAGTCTACACTCCCACCAGCAGTAGAGAAGGGTCCCTTTTTCTCCACAGCCTCACCAGCATTTGTTATTGATTGATTTCTTAATGATACCAATTCATCTCAGTGTTGTTTTAATTTGCATTTCTTGAATGACTAATGATGCTGAACATTTTCTCAGGTACTTATTTGCCATTTGTATCTCTTTCAAAAGTGTGTATTCATCTCAGCTGCCCATTTTTGGATTGGGTCTTTGAACTGGGGGGGGGGGCTGATATTTTCTAATTTTTTATATATTCTAGATAGAAGTCCTTTGTCCAAGGGACAGTTGGCTAAAATTTTTCCCAATTTGTGGGTTTTCTTTGCATTTTGCTGATTTCTTTAGATGTGCAGAAACTTTTCACTAAGATGAGATCCCAGTTGTTCATTCTTTTGAAGTATTTCCCATGTAGTTTGGTTTTTGTCCAAGAATTCTCTGCCTAGCCCTATATCTTCAAGGTTTTTACCTACTTTCTCTTCCAGTAGATCTAGTATGTCTGTTTTAATATTGAGATCTGTGAACCATTTTGACTTGAGTTTGGTGCATGGAGATAGACATGGGTCTATTTTCAGTCTTTGGCCTGTGGCAAGCCAGTTTTTCCAGCACCATTTATTAAAGAGGCTATCTTTCTTCCAGTGTGCTTGCTTGGCCCCTTTGTCAAAGATCAGATTGCTGAGTTTGTGGTTGTGGCTGCTTCTTCCAGTTTGTTCCACTGATCTTCTCAGGTCTGTTGTTTAACCAATACCATGTTGATTTTATGACAGTAGCTTTGTAATATAATTATAGCTCAGGGATTATAATGCCACCTGACGTGTCTTTATTGCCCATGATTGCTTTTGCTATTCTGTCTCTCTTCTGGTTCCACATGCATTTTAGGAATGTTTTCTTGGGGATATAGCTCAGTGGCACAAGCACCTGGCTGGCAAGTGAAAGGTCCTGAGTTCGATTCACAGCACCAAAAAAAAAAAAAAGAAAAAATGTTTTCTCTACATCTGTGAGGTATGCTAATGCTATTTTAATTGGAATTCCTTGAATCTTGTACAGTGCAGTTCTAAGAAACTATTCAGTCTTTAAGTTTGCTGGATTGAAGGCAAATTCAGAGGGATTTCAGTTAATCATTTTTATGTTTCTATTAAAAAAAAAAGCTGGTGCTCTCAGTATGTGATGATAACTAATTTCTGTTTTATTTCTACAAGCTATCCCAGACACATACTCCCACATTTCCTTTCAAGGGTAAAATCTTTGTGAAACACTAAAGGAATGTTTATTCCTTCTTGGTTTCATTTGGGTGATGGGGATAACTGTGTAAATCAGGATTAATATGAAAAGCAGAGGAGAGATGAAAGATGAAAAGCAGAGAAGAAAAAAAAATTTGCAAATAACACAACAAAATCCACTGAATAAAAATGACTTTTAAAAACATCTCTGGTAAATAATCATATTTCCTTAAGCTTGAAGTCAAAATAAAAGTAATACTGTATAATTTGTAGGATGTATTATGCAAGGACATGAATTTAGAAAAAGTAACATTAGAGACTTGATGGTTTTATTTATAAAATGGAGACAATTAACAGGACTGTTCAATTACTATATTTAGTCATGGCAAAAAAAATCAACAACAAAACATTAAACAATTTATTATGGACATGACTGAGGGATAAATCCAACCCAGAAGTTGTAACTTTCTGTTGAGTCATGGTAAAGGGAGAGAGTAAAGGGAGGTGAAACAGGGAGAGAAAAATGAATAAAAAATAAAACACAGAAAGAAATGAGAGTGCCAAGCCAATCAGTTCTCTGTTATGACAAGGATGTGCTTCCAGCACTGGTCTGATTTCTGATCAATGGTCTGATTTCCATGTTCTAATTTTCAAGGATTTGTCAATTTTTTTTTTCTAGGGAGGTTTTATTTTTTATTTTTTTTTGGTTTTTCTCCAGTACCGGGAACTGAACTCACGACCTTGCACTTGCCAGGCAGGCACTTTGCCGCTGAGCTAAATCCCCAGCCCCTCTAGGGAGGTTTTAAATACATGAAAAACTCACTGTTGTTTTTCAGTATTTTGTGAAAAGCAGGGAAAGAACCTCTTCACCTTATAAACAAGTAATTCATGCAGAATGCAATACATTACAATGTCTTTTCCCCAGAAAAAACAACTCAATTTCAAGACAATTCTTCAGGTAAAAATACTAAAGTCAAGTTAAAATATTCAACTCTATTAAATAATGTACATTGTAAATTTTTTAAAAAATTCTGGTGAGTGTTAGAGATCAAACCCAACACCTCAAGGAGTCTTGGCAAGAGCCATACCACAGAGGTACACACTCAAACCTCTTAAATTTTAAATCTTAGTACTTAAAGAAGCAAGGCCATTCTAATTATAAATACAATCGTAGGATCTAATTGGAAGTACTTTTTTAAAATATTGAAGCAAGGATCTCAAATGCCTTAAATAATCAAGTAATATAAGCTAAGCAGATTCCATGGCAATATATAAACAAATTTCAAGTGTATTTGTAAATTAATTTATAAGTTAATACCATTTGTGGTTCAGGACCAGAACTTACCAAGTTCTGCTAAATTACCAAATGCAACCAGACACATTTCTGTGAGAGCTGCATTGTGGCAGTGGATGCCTAGTAATGTCACTAGGGTAGGGATGACACCCATGTTGATAAGCTGAGATTGAAGAGAATCTGCAAGAAAAGAAAAAGAGAGGGGAAAAAAGCTTTCACAAATCAAATAGCACTGTAAGAAGTAAACACTTGTCATCCTCTCTAGTACAAATTCAATGCTGCTTCATTACAGTAGAAGAAAATGGAATCCACTCATGACTAACTCGGACATTCAGAACATACTAGTTCAGGAGAAATCTGAATCTTTCTTATGACCAAAATTTAGAAATGAAAACACAGAATATATTTATCATTAATTATTTTTAATGGGGACTTACACCTTTAATGACTTAGAATATATAAATAATTAAATAGTGTCATTAGTATTTAAATGAAAAGGTTAGACAAAGTAATATTTTCTTATAGGAAGTCATAGAATATAAGAAAAGAGTAAGAAAAACAGCAAGACTAAGAAAGAAAACAAAAATCCTAACGTCTTTTAAATTTAGTGTCTTCATAATAAAAAATGAACAGTATACAAAACATAAAATGGTTAATTCAGAGTATTTATAGCAGAGTGTTCTTTGATGACTGCCAGGAAGGAAATGTAGTTTAACAAGGAAAAAATAAGTTACCTAAATTTTTTTTCAAAGTTTTATCTGGTTATAGGTAACAGATCATCTCAGTAAAAAAGGATGGCTTGAGGTAAACACAATGAGGTTAACACAACTTTGTCATCACTGCCTTCCATTTTCTGAGCAACTAATTTGTTTCAAGGTATTAAATATGCCTTGGATTTCCACAATGGCACTTCATGGACAATTACTTGTAGTAAGGTTGAGTGCAACTTAACCAAAATGAAAACCAGAAGTCTAGCCTCTAATAAGCTAAGAAGAAAGACGTGAACATTTTTATGTATGTTCACATAAAACACTACTACTGTCAATACTGGTCCATCCAAAGATACAGTAACGTTCTTTTAATTTTAATTCTTTTTCTCTTTTAATATTATACACTATTTTCAAATTACTAGTTTCCTCCCTCCGAATTTTTTTTTTACAGTTACCTATTTGGAATCTAAAGATAGAACTCTACTTCTTACAAAACACATTTCTTCCATAGTACAAATCCCTTTACCGGGTTTGCTTTCTAATCTCTTTATTACTCTTACAGTTCTTAATCTGTAGGTAAGGAGGCAGGTATGTGAGTATCAGGAAAGAACAGAAAGGAGGGCTGCAGTACTCTGGTGGTCTTTGCTGTTAATTATTCCTGGCTTTAGAGTAAGGTATGAAGAGATACAGCCAGCAGAAGCTTACTGTCCCTGCAAATTGGTAAGTGGGTAATTACAGATAATTATCTGATTTGGTTGTTTGGGGCTGTGTATACTAGAAAGGGGCCTATTAACAAAACAAAAATCCAAGAAAAACCTGAGAAAAAGGGAAAATTACATTTAGAGTTCAAATAGTCTAATAAAGCAATTTGAAATTTTGTAACAGAATTTAGAAGTTGATTCTAATTGGAGTTAAAAAGAACACATATCTAAGAAATTTGTTTTAATACCGTGATGCAATTTTTTTCTTGAATATACAACACAGCAATCAACAAAAATTCACAATATTGACAACCAAAATATTTATGTTACAGGAGACAGTGTTATACCTGTACATCTTATGGGCAGAATACTTGCATTATGATTATAGTACTTAAAATGACCACGCACCAAGGAGCTTTCCAAACTAGGATCATTATGATTACTTACCAGTAAATAGAATTCCTTATTAGTGGATCTCCTCTGCATATCCTTGTTCTTTAGCAGTATTATTATGTATTCATTTTTGACTAACCCATCAATAACTGCAGAGCTGCTGAATCATTAGAAATGTCAGGTACGTAAGCGTGAGCACTAGCGCATGCATTGAGTGTGAGTCAAACTCTGCTCTCTGTCTGCACATATGTAAGCATCACACACCCCCTCAGTACTGTTGGTACAAACTTCATAAAAATCCAACAGTCTAGGGACATCAGGGGAATACATTTTACGAAGTAGCTAACAGGAGACTGCCACTTGTAAGATGCTCCTTATGATTGCCTAACTTGGCATCTCTACCACTACCTTGGGCTGCTTCTAAAATGTTAAAAAATTTGGTTCCAGAGAAAAGGGCATATTTTTCAGAAATGTTGCAGTGCTTAACAGTCTCCGGCATACAAATTGCACCAGTAACATTTGAAAGTATAGCAGATAAGGAGGAAAAGTAGCACTGGCAAATGGTGTAAATTGCCATAACTCATGAAAATCATGTTACTTCATGAAAATACATTTTAAAACTACTCAGGAGCCAAATTAATTATATACTCACATACAACACACATACCACACACAAGGGAAAAATATTTAGTTTTCCAACTGGATAAGCTTGTTTTGGACTAATTGGGAGCTCACTCTTATATCTACTTCTAGGATGGCAATGGAAACAATAAATTTGTTACTACATTGCACACAAAAAATTCTCCCTGGAAAACTTCACTCAAACATGCTGATATAAATTTTTCTTTTTGTGGTATAAGAGGCATCCTAGAAGTGAGACCCCTGAAACACATTCAGAAGATCAGGAAGTCAAAATTCTCCAGATAGTGTAGAAAGGATGGCAAAATTGCTGGCAAGTTAGCCTGAATCAGGCTGACACTAAACTATGCTAGCTACTGTGTTCTTCACCATAAAATAGAATGTTATTCACAGCAATTTTAAAAAACATTTTTCATAAATGTTTTTATTACTTATGTTAACGTAAGAGGTTCGTTAATTTAAAAGATGTGCTACTTTTAAAACTTTTTCATCTCATTTAGAAAAACAAAATTTCTCCAGACCTTTAGTAGTAATTTTAAATGTCTAACAGGGGCTACAGAGACCAAAGTTTAAGAACTACTGTGCAAAGGATTATCTAATTCTTTCTGAGAGATGGTAAGGAGGGGAAGAGAACATGGAAAAGACATTCTTTAGGTTCAAAGATGTGGTTGGCATATATTATAAGAGGGAAAAAAATGAAAACCATGGTCGAATTCAACTTTGGTGCATAGGTATTTTTAGAGAAATTACCTTAATAAAGCACCTGAACTGTATCTCGCTTATATGAACAGGAGCTCTACTTGAGCCAAGGAGAATGTTCCAGATTTAGTCAGCTTCCCAACTTCAGATATAATTTAGTATGTTACAATTAAGTAGCTTCTATTTTTTTTTTTTTTTAATTAAGGGATCCTATTTGTGTGGAATAAGTTGGCATTAATTCTTACTAACAGAAGCAAATGACTAGTCTGATCACACTTTTGTGAATGTTTTTTAAAGGATAATAACTGACATACTATCATGAAATTAGGAGTGATTTTTTTTTTAAAAAGGGATATGACTTTTAAATGAAAGACTAACAGGAAGAAATTCTTAGAACCAGAAATCATTTACATTCTTTAAACACACTGGAGAGAATACATGAAACAACTGCGAGACTAAGACTTTGGCATTGCTCAACAAAGACCAGTAACTCCAGGAGAATGTTTCTCATAGTTCAACAGACAACAGCAACTCACAAAAATGTACCCCAGGCCCAGTAGTGCAAACACAAAGTGTGAAAGACAGTCTTTAGACAACACCACGTCATAAATGTCTGAAGACTTTTAAAAATCTGCTCCTGACACACATCACAAACACATACTGACCAAAATACAGACGACAGAGGCCCTAGATGATCTATGGGGAAGAAGAGAAAGAAAGGCACTGAGGGGGTGCAATACAGATGCATATACAAGAGATATAAGGCAATCAACGCATGCGCTGGTGTGAACACTTACCTACCTACATTTGAATCTCAATGGTTCCAAGTTCTTCAGGTCACTCATGGAAACTCCAAAGAATGGAGATCTGGAGAGAAGATCTCAAGTTGAGGAACCTTTTTCCCCTGAGTTTTCAGTTCTATGTTTAAAACATTGGTACAGACTAGATTCTAGGTCCAGAAAAGTATGCTGAGAATTCCAACAACTCAATTGAAGTTATGTTGATCAATTACTTAAAAATAAGTTTCTTACAATTAACATGTTTATTTTTTCCTATGTTTCCTATAGACAATGTTAAAAGATTATTAACCTTATTGGTAAGAAGGATTTAAGAATGAAACTGTCAAAACAAAAAATTCAAAATATAGTTTCTATGGTACGATGTACATGTTATATGTATATTACTCATCGTATAAAGATGTGATATTGCTATATATTGCATTAAAAATCCCACCTACAGCTAAATGAGTTGTATAAAGCTGAGACACTGAAAATAAGCAAATCTAAGTCTTGATGAAAAATCCTTATCCAAACTGGCTAAAAAACATTTGAGCATTTTAAAGACTGAAGAAAATTGCCTCTGACTATCTGTATTTGCAAAGAAGGGCTATCAAAATGAAAAATCAGAAACAATGTAACAGTGACATGGCTTTTTAGAATTTAAGCAAGTTTAGCTCTATAATACTGAAAGGAAACTGATTTAAATACAGGTACTACGGGAATGATCGGTATTAAAAACTAAACTACACACAAAGCCAGGCGTGTTGGTGCACACCTATAATCCCAGCACTCTGGGAGAACTGAGTCAGGAGGACTTAAAAATCCTCTAAGACATGATCTACCATTAAAAAAAAAAAAAAGCAGCTGGGCTGTAGCTCAGTGTAAAGGCCTTGGGTTCAATCTCCACCTCCCCCTCCCCCACCACACACACAAATGTGCAGGTAGCCTTTTCAGTTTCTGATTATCAGGATCTATTTGTTGGTTTGTCAAGAAAGTACAGAAGTTGTATTCTGAACTTCGTGTTTAGTGTATGTAACTAGACTACTCACAGGTATTTATAGTCAGTTGTTTTAAAAGCCTTCTCTACACAAAACATGCATATACATTTCTCACAAAGATTACCCCTTTAGTTTCTAAGCTATACACCTCAATGATACAGAGAAACTTCAAAAAGAAGAAAGACGAGGGAGAGAAAGAGAGCAAATCAAGGTGTATTAGTATTGAGAATACTGGAGATTCAAAAAAAAAATCCATTTATC